AACAGTACATATTATATTTGCAAGAGGAAACTGACATAGCAGGTTTAGAGTTTCTTGACAACAATGCAATGGTTGAGGAAATACTCATAGAGTTTGAGCACAGTAAATGTGTTAAGTTCATTGTGCTTAAAGGAGATACCCCAACACCACGTGATGTTGACAGAGCATCACAAATATGTGAGAGCAGATCCCCATCACTATCATAGGGGAGAGTGTTATATATGCAGTTGACAACCAAGGGGTTTTGAACACAGAGCAGAGCAATAATATCCAGCATAAGAGCAAAGTTTGTTTTGGAGTCTAAAGAAGATAAGGATAAGAGTGAAGATGAAGAGGAAGAAAGGGGTTTTAGTGCTGATTTTATTTGGCCAATTGAGTTTGGTTATGATCCTCGAACATTGGGTGTTGATGAAGAAGACTTGGAATTACTTCATAGATTGGAGAAGTAGAAGATGCAAAGAGAGGATCCTTGGGATCATTATGAAGGAGACATAGATGTGAAAGAAGTTTATCTGCTCGAGGAAGAGGAATTGAAAGATTGTGACCCTGAGCCTTCTCCTCCAAAGAAGAAACCTAAAAGAGTTGGCCCAACTAGCAGAACACGCTATGAAGAAGAAATTCTTCCCTTTCATGATTGGGTGCATTCCAATGATGAATTGGGCAATCCATCTGATGTTAATGACAAACATTATGATGGTGATGTTAAAAGGAGTGTAATTTTATTTGGCATGAGTAAAAGAAGGCCTAACAAGAAAGAAGGCAGGATTTGGTATGATGAGAAATCATAAAAGAAATCTCATGACCAGATATGTGAGCAATTATGTTTTGAAAATGTGTACCAATTCACAAGAGCTCTAACACAACTCCATGTAGTTCAGTTGAGGAACTTACTTATTGAAGGAATCGCAAAGACATGATAATTATATATTACAAAGTGGCTGAATGTCCCTTTATGATGACAACTTCACAAGTCAAGAATGAGCAGACATTTGTTATCAGAAAATTGAGAATGCCACATACATGTCCCGCGGATAGTGAGAACACAAAAGTTACAACATATTAGGTTGCCCAGGAATGTGAGCATGCAATTAGAACAGATTTCGGGGCCAAGGTTGGACACAATTTTGGAAAATGTAAAGGAGAAGTATGGGGTGGAAATACCCAAGACCAAGTCCTACATGGCTAGGAGAAAGGCTTTGAAAGTTGTTGAAAGAAATGTTAAAGCACAATACACAACAATGCATTGGAGAGGGTAATAAATTTGGCACTTACACTTTCACTTTTCACAGACAAAAGGTTAGCCCACAAGTTTCACTTCGTTTTCAGTTAAATGTTTATATATTTATTTAGGTAAATTATCAAATTACTTAGGACAATTATATATTTATTTTTTGAGGGCCTGCTAAATGTTTTCTTAAACTCAATGACAGTGGGAAAGGTTCCCACTGACCTTTATATTAAAAATTCAAACAATATCACTTGTACATTGAGTAGGGATTGGCATGGGGGCGTGGTAGAATAAACCTATGAGCTAAGGATAGGCAATGCATAGGTGGAAGTTAGATAGAATGAACAAAAGAGAGGATGAAAGGTTCGAGCCTCTAGTTTGTCCTGTGAACTAGTAAAGCAAAGTCTCTCTTAAAGCTAGTCAGCCAAGAATCATGTGATGGAGGCATACTTCTGAAGAGTTTATCATTGCGCTCTTTCCAAATCCCCCATGCAGCAACTGCAAACACTTCCATGAACATTGTCTTGTTCCAAGCCACCTTACCGGGGTGGATCATATGCAGTCTACAAGCACTATCCGGCCAAGCAATTGTAATCATCACCAACAACTCTGTTGTGTATTCGTTTAAGCATGTTACTGGTGTTCAAACAATTAGCTAGAAGCAGCCAAAGAAAACCTTCCACTGCATGGTACACTTGGACTTCTAGATCAACCCGAATGCTTCATCCACTTGCATCTCACTGAAGCAGTAGTTATAGAATTTCCAAACCCTGAAATTAGATCCTCCCCACACACAACTCCAGGTGTCATTTAGCACAGACCTAGGATCAACCACTGGTACATCGAGCTGCTATACAAACGGTTTTTAACCCCTTTCCGCGACGGTGTTTTAAACCGTCGCCAGGACAATGTGGGCGATAGGTGGGTCCTTCTCACACGACCCAGAAACCGTCGGGGATAGGGAGTAGCAATGCATACGTTTTGCATAACTAAGCTTATGCGTTGCCGACATGTATCCCAAACACGAGACTTCATACGTTTTGCATAAGTAAGCGTATGCATTGCCGGCATGTATCCCAAACACGAGTCTTCAGACAACTGTTTGTGATATCTCGCATATCCCAAACGCTCCATCCTTGCTTCTCATTTGTGCTTGCATTACCATCGCAGTCGGTCTTCCGTGGTAATATATTTATGATGCGCACCCCATCACAAACAGGTCACCATTATAGAACGTGTATGATAAACAGACAATCACACACATTTACTTTTCCTCGACTGTATGTGATTCTATGTAAGAGTGTATACAATTATCCCTATATAAAACTGTATGCGAAGCTTGAATATATCCCACACGATTCATCCGCCGTACCCATGTCGGATGAGGGCCTATCGCACACGTTCTTCTATGAGCAAATGTTTACAATGCGCACGACATCATAAGCAGTCCATATTTG